TGCGCCCCATTTTCAGTGGCCATTTGTGGTCCCCTATGCCGCATACTAGATGAACATATGGCCTCGTGTCCCGCGCCCATAGGATTGACCGAACCTTCTCTCGACTAGGTCACCTGGATCCTCGTCTGTGTTTCGCGTCTCACGCTGCCGCGCGCACATGCACCTATGTCGTCGAAATCCCCCCTCTTGGGGCGAACGTAGTCTATGGCATGTGGATCTTCAAAATGAAACGGTCGATCTGCGCCTGTCTTCAAGGCATGCTACGTGGCGCGAGAATTTCGACAGCAAAAGGTGGTAGACTTCTTTCATACCTTCTCCCCCACCACGAAGATGACCACTCTTCAGGTACTACTGCACGTTGTTGCACAACGAGACTACAAGCTGTGGTCACTACACTTTTCTACGGTCTTTCTTCAGGGTAGCCTCCATGAGCAGATCTGGCAGCACCGTCCTCCTGGCTTCACTGGCTCTTTCTCTCAGGGGACCTAGTGGAGCTTTTGACTGCCATTTTAAGGTCCACGCCAGGTTCTCCGAGAGTGACATAACACGCTGCGTACTACTTTCTTTGACCTCGGCTTCTTCGCATCCTGTGCTGAGCCTTCCCTCTTCGTTCGCACGGGGCCGATGCCGTTCTTTATCCGTGTTTACGCCGACGACTTGGAGTTTGCTGCTGCACACGAGGTTGCTCTGGCTTTAGTGAAGGATGAGATGCTGAAAAGACACACTTGCACTAACATTGGTGAGCTGTGCAACTAACTTGGCTTGCTAATCACCAGGGTTAGAATAGCGCGCACCATCACTCCGACTCAGTCACACATGGTGCAGCAGCTCCTTCAGCGGTTCCGCCTGCAGTTCCCCTCCGCACAATCCACTCCACTTGCTGTTGACCATAAGCTTACGACTCCTGTTCCCGACGAGCCGGCTGAGCCTAGTGGTCCGTACGCAGAGTTGGTGGGGAGAAGAGAGGAGGGGGGGGAGGGGGGGGGGGGTGCTTATGATGTTTCCTGCCATATTGGGGGGTGTTACCTACATCTGACACAATTAAAGTACTCGTAATATGGACCCGGGGGTCTACTACTAGAGGGGGTCTACAACGCGGTGATTATGGTAGTTGGATTGAATGTTACCGTATGGCAACTTCTTCGTCATGTCATGATATTCCTTGGATGCAAACATTGTCGACAGTAACACGTGTGCGCGGCGTCCGAAGGATTCATGGGTTTATGAACAAAATTATAATCCCATCACTTTCTTGGTTGAAGTGTCAGAATGATGCTGGCACACAAATATATTTTTCTCCTACAGTTCCAGAGCAGGACCTAGCATTATACTCATAGAACTTTGAAATAGCTGTGGTTGTAGCTCCGCCGTAAAAGCGGTAAGCAGCTGAACATGCCATTGATGGTGGGACTGGCTTGACTCTCCCCTTCTTGCAGAATCCCAATCTGAATGACCAACAGTCTGCCCTAAGACAAACCTGGGATAGCAAGATGCCCAAGTGCATGTGCAAAGTGCATGAAATGAGTAGGAAGTTCAAGAAACCTAAAAATGACAAGGCCTGACCAGAAGTGAAGATAAAAAAACTTGTAGAAAAAAAAGGCGAGGTGGCAAGAAGAGTGTGCCTTCCCCCAGGTGGGCACTGACAGCAGACAGGGCACAACCATCCTTGTCCACAATAGCTGTTCCCTTCTGTTTCCTCCCATCTCCCTACCCTCTCCTCTCTCTCCCCACAATCACAAGACCTCACCTGCACGCCAATCTTGCTGCCAACAACAGAGGCAGAGGCAGGGATGCTATCCGAGCAAGTGAGGCCGGGATTGTTGCGGTAGAGCTCAGCCCAGTGGTCTGCGCTCAGGTTCGGCTCGTTCACAGTCCTCTGAAGCAGCCGGTCGCACGTGTCTTGCGGTGTGAGCATGCCGTGCTTCACACACTCGGGGACGGTGAAGGCAAAAGCGGGGTTGCGCTCGATGCACACAGAACGGCCCGCCTTGATGGGCTCGGCGCAGTCAAGCCCGGGGTTGAGCGCAGTAAGAGAAGCTTCGTTCAAGTTGGTCTGATCGGCGATGGTGGAACAGAGGTCTCCCTGGAACATAGTGTGGGAGGTGGAGAACAGAGGGGCGGGGTGCATGTGCTGGTTGCATAGTGCATCTGGTACTGGGAATGTTGCGTGGCATTGAGGTGAGGGTGGGATGACAACAAGCTCGAACGGCCTGCTGTGCACGGTGCGGTTGGTGGAATCCTATTGGAATTGTATCAGATATTAACACATGGAGAGAGTAGAAGACGGCCTTTAAAGCAACTGAAACGTTGGTGCAATCCCAAGGGCATGGTATGGCATCTCACATGGAGGGAGTAGAAGAAAGCAGTGCAGGGTGTGGTGGGTGTGCCAGTCAATTGGAGGACGGTGCCCCTGGGCAGTGGCTCGCTGCAGTCTACTGCCTGCACTTGTTGTGGAGCACATTGGGACAAGGGGCAGGGTGAGTGAGAGGGCCTTATCATACCTTGCATGGGCGTGAGGTTTACAAACCTTAGTACACAACACCAATGCGATACACACATAACATGGAGTAACAAGAATGCATGAGACCAAGTGAAGTGTCTCAGACATGGAGAAGTAAAGCATGGGAGATTGGTGATATTGTGGTGATGTGTAAAAGCCCACTTTAGACCGGAGAAAAAACAACAGGGAATTGAGTAGTGGCGACCCCATGAGTCCCATTCATTTGCCTCGTTCACTTACCGCATTTTGGAGTGTGAAATCAGCCAGAGAGAGGCCGACAAGAGGATACACATCTGAGCACCACCAGTTGTCTCCACTGACTGTCATGGCGGTGGCTGTGGTGTTAGCTGCAAAGCAGGTAGAGAGTTAGTGAAGGAGGGAGACGAAGATGTCAGGAAAAGGGGGCAAGTTTGGAGATTGAGCAGATTCATGCCACACCAACTCTAAATAGCTGTACGACATACAGTACGGACTTGGGATGAAAACAAAAGGAGATTAAGAGCAGGAGAAACGCACACAGCCAAACACTAGAGTAACTTCTCACCTGGGTCGCAGGTGGGGGTGTCATAGACAGTTGTGCTTTCAACGCAGTTGGGAGGGCAGATGCAGGAGTAGGAGCCTCTGCTGTCGTTGATGCATGTGCCCACGTAGCAGGGGTTCTTGAAGTATGACCCACACACGTCCACTGACAGATAGATAGCACATGGGTGGGACAAAGAGGAAGAAGAGAAAGGAAACACAAACATGCTGCCACAAATGTGGGGTTCCGAAGCCCCCTCACCTCCCCTAACACCTCTGCTCCTTCTGACTCTCAGTAATATGAACTGAACTGAACCTGCCGGTGCTGCAGCCACAGCAGGTGCTGCGCTGCTGTGCTGTTGCAACCTAACAACCCAGTACCCAGTAGAACCCACCCGCAGCTTACCATAAGCACACGTGCTGGCGCCATTCCCGTTGTCAGCCTCAACAAACGGCTGCCTGGCAGCTCCTTCTATGGTGCAGCTGCAGGTATAGCTGCTGTCATCCACCGCATTGCACCTGAACCGACCGCACGGGTTCATGCCGGACAGATCCTGGTCGCCCCTGTAGCTGTTGCTGCTGCATGGGTCCCCCAGAACTGGAGGAAAGACAGGAGAATACATGTGAGAGAGGGAGGTGCATTGAGATGGAAGCTGCAAGATCGTAGCACAGGGGGAACGGGAATGGGACTGTGCAACTCAAGTCACCCTAGTAGTAGCGTACGTGGAAGCTCAGTGCCAGTCGGTGTGTATGTGCCTGGCAAACTTGCCATCGCCATTGAAAGATAAACCCGAAGATGGAATAAAAGCCTCACTCTTGACAATGGGGTAGATGCCAGGCAGCACGTTGATGCCACACACGCCATCCCCTCCCTGAATGTCCATGCGCATGTGGCCCTTATCTCCCCACTCCTCTCCCCACGAGTTGCGGATGATCCAAAACGGCGGCGCAATGCGGTTCTGGCTGCCGTCGTTTCTATTAATGAAGTAGCCAACAACGAGTACAACGTGGTTCAGATTGCCGGTGTAGCAGTCAGGATCCTGGTACTTGAACGTCTGATGCACAAACAGAGGACAGCACAGAACAGCACAGCACATCCGAGAAGATGTACAGTAACCAGCATCACATTGCATTGCAACACAAGGGAATGCGCCGCATTCTTACGGATGGACATCTTTTTGCAAGACGATCACACCAAACGAGTGCTGCACGAACTCCCTTCATCCTAGGTGACGCACGGACTGCTCACCCCATCGATGCACGGACTGCTCACCCCATCGATGCACGGACTGCTCACCCCATCGATGCACGGACTGCTCACCCCATCGATGCACGGACTGCTCACCCCATCGATGCACGGACTGCTCACCCCATCGTAGCCGACAAACGTGGCAGCAGAGGCTTCGATGTGAACCACCACTGGCTGCCGCCGCACTGCCAGCATGAGCCCCACATACCCCTTGAATGATGTGCGCTCAAAGCCCTGGATGGGGTACTTTGTCGTCTGCAAGAACGATATTGATGAAAGAACAGATAAAATCAAATCCATATACATCATAAGATCTGGACAGATCAGATCAGATCACATAGAGATTGTTGGGAGATAAATAAAGCGATAGAAACACCGTCGGCCAGCAAGGGCCGCGCATGCCTCGCGTGCATGTCACTCAAGAGCAACAAGCTCTTCAATATCCTCGGCAGGTGAACCTCCAGCCGAGCACTTGTCTGCATCGGTTTCTGAGATGCCTCATGTCAGCCAGTCAACCCCACGGCTGCAAAGAGTGCTTACACTGCCAGCTGTGAGTGAGGCGACTCAAGACTTACCGATTCAGTGACCCCAGTGAGCCCACTCCCGGCATCAAGGGCAACGAGCTTCTCAAAAGCCTCAGTGGGAGAGCCTCCAGAGGAGCACTGGTGTGCACCAGCCAGCCCCATGGCTGCAAAGAGCGGCTCCAGTGATAGCTGTGGCGCGCTCTGATGCCTTGCAATGCCGTACGCTGCTTCTATGCTCGCCACCACTGCGTATGCCCAGCATGCATCTGAGGAGAAGGAGAAGAAGAAGGAAAATAACAAGATGGCGATGGGTGAGGGATGTGACACGGGGATGAGGAAGAACGTGCATTTCCGTGACGCACACACATGCACCAGTGTCCAGAAAGCTTGAACTGATAAGACTCCCTGAATCCGAAGCACCCTCGTGCTCTCCATCCAACGGGCCACCCTCGTTCCACTCACTGCAGTCGGCCTGGTCCTTGACCGGCCATGCGAGGAAGTCTAAAGAGTTCCAGGTATGGAAATCACGGATGCGCCACGAGTCGTCATCGTTGGACGCCAGTTCGTAGTCCGTGCTCACATAGCGCAGGAAGGGGCTGGCTCTAGGGGGAGCGTATGTGACTGATGTGAGTGCGAGGCCGCGAGCTGTGTGAGGGTGGGAAGGGGTGGAGGAAAAAGGAGAGAGGCGCGCATGTGGATGAGGGTTTGTGACTCAGATGTTGGTTCTAAATGACAGATGTCAAGGCTGCTTTTTGTGTGTGTGGCAGAGGGAGCTCACCTTGCTCTTTGATGCGGACTGGCTTGAGTGGAAACACGCCTGTGAGTGGGAGCACACACACACACACACACACACACACACACACACACACACACACACACACACACACACACACACACACGGCACAAAGAAAGATAACAGCAACAGGTACACGATCGACACATGATCGGGCCTTGAGACAAGGAGAGGACCAGCCACATGAGTCGCAAGCAATGACAAGGCAAGATCGTTTGAACCAGCTACCACCTCAACACCTTACCTTACCAAACTGGTTGCAACGTAACCAGAAGTACTGCAAACCTGCACCGGTCCCCTCGTTACCCATTAATTTCATGACAATTGCAACAACACCACTCCCAAGCTCATCACCATCCCTTCCCCATCCCCATCGCCATCCCCATCCCCATCCCCCCGTCCCCATCCCCATTCCCGCATCCCCATCCCCCCATCCGCATCACCCCACCCAGCAAGCCCTGACCTGTTTGCACGGCAGAGCGCACAATTCCATGCAGCTGGAACGGCTTCACCGTAGTGGACGCCACAAACCCAAAGAAGAACGCGCTCTGCCGCACACCACCCTGCAGCACCGCACACAGGGAAAACTCCTCCTGCAACAGCGGCTCCTCTGGCTTCCTCCTGGAATCAGCTAGAAACACCCGCATGGTGCCGGGATCCCCGGGATCACCAGGTTCATAGTCCACCCATGCCGTATATGCGTTGCCATCCGTGAGCATGTAAGGGGACACCTCAGCGACCAAGGATCGATCCAGGCCGTTGATATTGAGCCCCACGTGCTGCCGGCTGGCATCGCTGTGGTTGCCGTTCTGCAACGTGTCAAACTCCACCGCCAGGCTCCGCGGCCCCACCCCGCCATACCCCACGCCGTCCCCCCTCCCCACCTTGGCCTTTGCTGCGATGACAAACGCAAAGCCGTTGGACCCGGCAGCGCCGGACTGGGGAACGAGGGAGAAGGTGAAGTTGACAGTGAACGCTAGCTCCACACCGCATCCCAGGGATTGGGGCAGACCGGAAGGGTATGCGAAGAGGGTGACTGGCTTTGCCATGAACTTCCCGGCTGTTTCCCGCTTGGTGCCCTTGGTGAGTATGGTGAAGGGCGGGAGGATGGGGCTGCTGACAGGGAGGGTCTTCACCCACTCTGAAGGGATGTGCATGGAAAAGGGGGCAGTGGGGAAATAGGAGGGAAGCAGAGAGATGGTGTTTTGTTCCTGTGAACCTGCTGTTACTCTGCTTGTGATGCCCATGCGACAGAAAAGAGTAAGCAGAGCGTGCAGGATCGATCGTTGGTCGCACATGCTTTCCTTCAGCAAAGGGCGCAGATATGCATGTACCTGCAGAAACGCAGGTGTTTCCTGGAAGCTGCAAAGACCTTGGGTCGCACCGCATGCACGTGGGCACCAAGCTGGGCCCGTCCGGATAGCAAGTCCCATGGCCTTCACACGCAGATGTCGCGTTGGTGATCCCGCAAAACGCTGCACACTCTGCTGCTGGCCTCTGCAGCAGGTCAGAGCTGCAGGCATTGTCGAGTGTGAAGCAATTGGCGATGATGTTGTGCTGCGTGCAGGTGGGCTCTGAGATAGCACCGGATAGGTAGTTGTTTGCAAGATCCATTCTGAACTGTGTGGTGTTTGTAAGGCGACCTGTGAGGTAGTTGTGTGAGAGATCACTGGAAAGGGGAGGGGAAGAGGAAGGGGAAGTGGGGGTGGTGGTGGGTTGAGGGGGTAAGAAAAACAGGCAGCAGGTATGCGAAAGGAATCTGAGAAGCAGATGATTATACGGCTGTGAATGCTATGAGGAGGAGGGGAAAGGAGGAGGAGGAGGAGGAGGAGGAGGAGGAGGAGGAGGAGGAGGAGGAGGAGGAGGAGGAGGAGGAGGAGGAGGAGGAGGAGGAGGAGGAGGAGGTGGGAAATAAAGGTCAACACTGCATTCAGGAGAGCTGTGCTGGTATGGGTTACCGGCACCAGTAGGAGGGAGAAGAAGAGCAGCGGGTAAGGTAAGAGTGTATGAGCAAGGTGAAGTGAGCATGCATCAATGACAGCGGGTGGTTCACAGTGCCGGAGTAAGACGATTGAATCACCACGTAGGCCAGTGACTGGTGCTTGTTGTGCTTACCATTCTTTCAAATCCGTGAGCTGCGAGAGAGACGCGGGCAAGGTGCCATACAGCTGGTTGTATGCGAGTGACCTAATGCTCGTGCCGAGGGGGGGCAGTGGAAAGGGGAAACGGGGAGGTCCAGGTGGATAGGGAGGTATGACCAAGGAGCAGGAGTTGTGCAGCAACCATATAAGAGATGGGTTTTGATAGAAGAACGATGGGTTAACGTAAGGATGGTATGAAACTAGAAGCTGCGCCCATGTGCATGCAATTTGCGAGACAATGTAGGAGAGCGTGGGAGGTATGGCACGGCAGGAGCACCTGCATATCACACCTTGCAGGTTGAGGGAAAGGGTGAGTGAGAGAAAGCTCTCAAGTGAGTGCAGCACCGCGGGATGTTGAGAAGGTTGTTATAGCGGGCTCACAGGTAGACTAAGGCAGTTAAGCTGCGTATCGTGTCAGGGATGGCTCCCGCAAGCTGGTTGCTGTGCAGGCGTCTGCCAAAAACAGGGGTGCCACGTGCGGTTTAGATATAGACTTGAAATAAAGGGTGAATTACAAGGGGCCAGCTTGGCATAGAGTGCGGTGTAGTGTGGTATTGCAAGAGATGTGCGAGTATGTGTTCTGCGACTGCGAGGTACATTCAATGGGCAAGCAAAGGGAGGGCAAAGGGAGGGAAAAGGCCGAGCAAAGGGAAGGCAGAGCAAAGGCAAAGGGAAGGCAAAGGGAGAGCAAGGGACAGCAAAGAAGAAAGGGTGGCAAGAGAATGCTTGTGTTTTGTGTGCACTCACACTCACTGATGCACGCATACGGCGTGTGAGTGACGAGTTCACAAGGCCATGCCTTTCATACATGGCAGCTGCCATGCGTGATACACAGCCATTATAAGAGACATGGAGGCACAGAGGCATGGATGGAGGCATGCGGGTATCGTAACGTGCCTTGTTGTAGGAATGCAATGCAAGTCACACAGGACACAGAGTGAGGTGAGCAAGTCGCCTCCCCATTGAGCAAGTCAGAGAAAGGTGAGCAACTCACAGAGACCAGAGCTTGGAGAGCTTGCTGACTGTGGAGGGAACAGGCCCTGAGAGCTTGTTCATGCTCACCTCCCTGCATGTGTGCATGCCACCACCGGGGAGAGGCAGAGCTTCAATGCAGTGCAGTGGGAGCGCCATTGAAAGATGCACTGTATGCGATGCTCTAAGGTCGGTTGCAGCCCCGATGCTGCTGCTACCGGAGCAAACTCCTTCTTTTCTCCCCGCACTGCACTTCTGGCAGCCTGACAAATTGTTTGAGTGCACTACACCACACTGCACTGTACTGCACTTTGCGTCGCTGCGCTGTACCACAGTGCATCGCACTGCAGGACATGCTCTTTAGATGGCAGCGGATGAAGAGAAGTGTGATGGTAGTAGAGCAAGGAACACGAACATGGTCTGACTGAGGGCAAATTAGAAACGACTTTCAATGAGGGATGGGATGGGATGGGATGGGATGGGATGGGATGCGTGAGGGTGCGTGGCAGCATCTTACATCCACAGCAGATTCGTGAGTGAGAAGAGGCTTCCTGGCAAGCTGCCTTCCAACTCGTTCTTCTCTATGTGCCTGCCGGGCAGAGGGATGGGAGTAGTAGGATGCGGTTCTAACACTCTCTCTATGTGTCTGTGAGGTAGAGGGGAGTGATAGGACGCAGTTTTGACGCATGGATGGGGTCACCAGGGGTATTCAAGATCAGCCATGCATCATTCCATGAGACAATATGCCGGTACAGGAATCTACCCCTACTATATCTGCTTGGGATGGCTTGGCATGGCATGGCGTGACATTGCATGGCGTGGCATGGCATAGCAACACTGACATGACAAGGAGATTTCTCAAGCCACTGATGGATGGAGGGATGGGGCCTGTCAAGCGGTTGCTGCTAAGGTCCCTGGAGCAGTAAGAAGAGAATATGGGCGGGCGAGAGAGTGAATATATGCTGGGGAAAAGGGCACCGTGGGATATAAGGAGTGCAATTTTTCACTCGACTTAAAAAAAAAAACCGTGGGATATGAAGTTTGTGGGTGTGAGGCTGCAGTAGCATTGAGTGAGCTCTATTAGATGAAGCACATGCATTGCCATGTGCGGGGACGGGGAGGGTTGTGACACGTGCAATGGGAAGGAGAGGATGAGGAGGAGAAGGGCTGAATGGAGTGGTTGGGCTCATATTAGACTGAACCTAGTCTTGAACAATTGGAAGGTAGGATTGCAGAGAGGAGGGGCGCAGGTAGGAAAGAGTGGGCTTACAGAGACATCAAGTTCTTAAGGTTACCGATTGAAGCAGGAAGTGAGCCTGTGAGCTGATTGGCGTAGAGTTTCCTGTTGTTGCGATGGACATGGATGGGGCATGACATGGATGCAGGCAGAGGTGCAGAGGGTTCAAGGTGCGACAGGCCAATGGCAGAAAAAATAAAAACGTTTCTGAGGTGATGGGAGTCAGTCAATATTACACCCCATCTAAGACGATGTCACATTCCACCTCAGCACATTCGCAGTGAAGCAGGCAGGGGCCAGGCACGCAAGGTTCTTGAGCCATTAGACTCTAGTGAGTGGATGGGGGGCAACGAGTGACGGGGTGACACGGAGTAAAAGAGGCGTGGCAGAGCATTGACTGGCCTGAGCCAGTCATTCCTGGCAGTTGAATGGGCACAGAATGAATCTATAAGGGCTTACAGGTTTGTGAGGCCTGTAAGATTGCCGATGGAAGTGGGAATTGAACCTGTGAGCTTATTCCTTTCAAGAGATCTGCAGTATGGGCAAACAATAAGAAGCAGCAAGGGGTGGTTTTGAGTTGACTCCAGAGATACGGTTCTGTTATGCAGGGAAAGGCAGACTATTAAAGGGGATTGGAAATTTTGAGTTCAGGTTTGGTCCAAAATGAGTTGGAAGAGAAGAGAGGAGTGGGGAGAGAAGTAAAGGACGAAAATGCACAAATAGACAAACGAGAAGCGGAACACAGAGAGGGAAAGAAAAGAGCGAAGGAAAGGAGAGGATGTGAAACGAGAGGAAAGAATGCAAATGGTATGAGCGAAATCAGTCAGGTTGGAGAAAAGGTGAGAAGAGAAGAGCAAAAATGTCCAGAACTAGAAGAGGAAGCTCTGAAATGAGAGGAGGACAACTAAGAACCAGATATGCATGGCCTGAGTGGGTGGGAGAATTGTAGGGGCGGAGGAGGGGTAACATGCTCTTCATTGGCATGATGCATGCAATGCTACCTATGTACAGTAAAGGAGAGGGTGGTGGGACATGGACTGGGATGGAGAGGCGAAGAAGGCAGATGGTTGCATGGACAGGGAAAGAGAGGTATTCCAGGATGCAGCAGGAGCAGGGGCGAGATTGGAGGGGAGTGGCAGAGACAGAAGGGCAGGGGCAGAGAGACAGGAAGTGCGGAAGAAAGCAGAGCTGAGAGGTGACTGTGAAGGGCTCACAGGTAATTCAGGTTTCTAAGGTTGCCGATCGCAGCGGGTATTGAACCCGTGAGTTGATTATTAAACATGTATCTGTAAAGGGCATAAGGGAAAAACCGGAGGGTTGTATTGGGAAAGGGAAAAAAGGACTGACAGTTTGTAAGAATATATGGCAGGCATAGAGAGATGTGACAGGATGAACGGACGGACGCTGAAGGGGGACAGAAGCAGAGGCGGTATTACAGGTAATTTAGGTTTGTGAGGTTGGTGATTGCAGCAGGGATTGGGCCGCTGATCTGATTGTAGAACAGGTACCTGGATGAATGATGATGACAATGAACCGGGAAAGTATAGAAAGATTGCTCAAAAGAAGAAGTGGAAATGATGGAAGTTACGAGTAGTGACCATCAGCACTAAGAGGAGGCTCCATACTCCAAATAGGAGATATGAAAAATCTTGAAACAGAAGGCACATAATGCAAGAGCAGAGCAGAAAAAAAAGAGAGGGAACCAGAAGATTCATGCTTCAAGAAGAAGAGCAAAGACTGGAGAGGAGGGTTGGAAGTAGCCTGTAGCCTGTAGGCAAGGCACGCACGCATGAGAAAGAAGAAAGAGGGCTTACAGGCCTCTCAGGTCCTGTGAGACGCCTCAAGAAGAGTCCACGTACAGGTCGTTCAGCTTTACAAGGTTGCCGATCGCTGCTGG